GATGAGTGGACTCAGAGTGTGCTCTGAGGCCCCCCTTTATTCAGTACATACATGAGGAAGTACAGTTGTCAATACATAATTGGTTACATTTTGTTGCAGGGTAGAATAAGTCCTAATGTAGCGTCTTTAACATATGATTGGTTGTAGCTTTCTATAGGATGTGGTTAGTGCAGAAGCAGATTGCAAGCTTCTTCTTGCCTATTGCTATGCTAGCTTCCTGTTAACCGTTATTTTCTCAGAGGATGTGGTTGCCTCACTTACTGTCCTAGGCCTCTAGTACGCAAGCTGGCCACTGGCCTAGTTTTGCTATAGAAGCCTGAACTATAAAATTCCAACACTAGATAGCAGGATTCCAGTATTTGGGGGGCTGCCACTTCTCACTAGCACTGCTCAAGTTACCTACACTGGGTCATGAAATGTCTGCAAGAAAACCACCCAGCTCAGAGGACCACCGAGGACCCCCATTCCTCCTCCTCCTCCTCCTCCTCCTCCTCCTCCTCCCTATATCCTAATCTTGAGGCAGACTAGGTGGTACCTGAAACCTAGAGCCAAACACAAGCTAAGGTATCAGTCTGGATGAAATACGCACACACCAACACACATCCCCGGCTACTATCCAGTTCCAGATTCCGTAATTGATGCTCTTCTTTGTCCTGCAGATGGAGAACGCAAAGAAGTGACGATGGAAGGTATGGCAACAGGGAGACTTTGACGTAGGACGGGTCTCTTAGCACAGTGGCCCCCAAACGTTTGGGTACCAGGGACCGGTTCCTTGGAGAGGGGTTTTTTTGTGGACCGGGGGGTATGCTGGTTTCATGTGCTTCACTTATTTGCGTGGCCCGGTTGCCGGCGTGCTGTGAACCAGTGGCGGTTCAGGAACCGGGGGTTGGGGACCCCTGTCTTAACAGCTGTTTTACATTATGGTGGATCCCCCCCCAAAAAAGTTACTTAAGATCCGATCCTGGAATTACAGTCCCTGCAGCACCCCAATGATCATTTGCTCTTGTGACTGACCACAAGGACACTGCAGTATCCCCTACCTATTCTACCCATCCCACCACATGGTCACTTCAAGCATTTCCCTTCCCCAACACGTTCCCGCTGGTCTTTCTCCTTCCACACCAGGTCCCCTTAAACCAGACATGTCAAACTCACGATGTGAGAGATATCGGGACTGTTTTGCTGGCAATGGGGTGGGCGCGTTTTCCGGATGATGTGTCCAGCCCGCGGGCCGGCAGTTTGACACCCCTGCCCTAAAAGTTTCGTCCTGGCTTTAATCGGATTCTCACACCCCTAGGCTCATATGTTCCATCTCCCTTAACGATAGCAATAGCACTTATGTATCGCTTCACAGTACTTCAGAGCCCCCTCTAAGCGGTTTACAGAGTTGCCTTATTGGCCCCCCACATTTTAGCGACCACGGAAGGACGGAAGAGCTGAGTCAACCTTTAGCCGGTCAGCATCGAACTCCTGGCGGTGGGCAGAGTTTGCCGGCAATGCTGCATTCTACCCAGTGGGCCACCAGCGATCATGGTGATGCGGTAGAGGCTGTTGAGCAGGAGGTCGGACTAGAAGACCTCTGAGGTCCCTTCCAATATTACGCCCGTACCCCGGCTTGGGCCCATCGTTACGCAGCACACAGCAGCAGCCCTGAGCCACCTCACAGCTCAGTCTCAATTTGCTTGGCTCCAGCTTTGCTCGTGGGGGCTGGGCACAGTGGCTGTATTCGGACATCTGCTAAAGTGGGATTCGCACGTTGTGGGAATCTGCACAGCTGAGCAGCCCATTTTAGCAACACTGGGAGATTCATATGAAAATATCACTGAACCACTTCCGGGCAGGGGTGACGTTTTTCCATATTTGTCCCCATTTCCAGCCTGCTCAATGACACCCTGACATGTGAGAAATATCTCGATTCCTTTTTGTAACGCCGTCTTCCAAACTCACAGGGGAGGACAACGAACTCCGGCTAATCCTGGTGGGGAAGACCGGAGGCGGGAAGAGCGCCACAGGCAACACCATCCTCGGCCAGTCAGTGTTCAAGTCCATCCTGCAGCCAAACACCACCACCCTGAAGTGCGAAAGGGGGCAGAGAATCTGGAAGAACAGGAAGGTCTCCGTGGTCGACACACCCAACATTTTCGATTCTGAAAACCACAGTATGCAACACGAGATCGAGGCTTGCATCGAACTCTCCCGGCCTGGCCCCCACGTCCTGATCTTTGTGACCCAGGTGGGATGCTTCGCCGCCGAAGATGTGACAGCTGCAAAGAGTGTCCGGGATATCTTTGGGGACGAGTCCGCCAGGTACACGATCGTCCTCTTCACCTGCAAGGAGGATTTGAGAGGGGAATCCCTGCAGGAGTACGTCCGAAATTCCAAGAACCGCAATCTGCGGGAGCTGATCCAGCGGTGCGGGGACCGCTTCTGTGGCTTCAACAACAAGGGCACAGGAGTCGAGTGGCAGGCGCAGGTCTCGGAGCTGATGGGGACGGTGCAGAGAGTCGTTTCGGAGAACAGGGGAAGACACTACGTCATCCGGCTGCCCAAGGTGCCCAAGGTAGGGGATCAGCGTGTCATAGAGTAGAATCAAATGGCAAAGTGGAACTGGGGGAGGGCGATGCTCTTTCTGCCCATTTACATGAGAGCAGGGGGTCCCTCCTCTCTGGGAGACCCCAATGGGTGGGTGGGACAGCCGAGACCCTCATGTTAGGACAGGCAATTGGGGGGAGGTGAAAGGCCGGAGGTTAGTAGCCGAGATCCACTAATTAGGAACCGGATGGCTGAATCGCTCAGGATCCCTTCCTTGTTAGCAAAGGAAGGCAGAGAAGTGGGGGGAGGGGACTTAGCTACAAGTGGGACACAGAAGCACCTCTTTTTTTGGGGGGGGAGTTCTAGGTAATTTGGGGAGGGGGCTTTCTCCTTTTCTGAAGTTTCTGCTGGGTTCTGTACAAACAGGGATATAAAACGGGACCTTGTCCGGGTTCCACCCGGGCACAGCTGGGAGAAGGCGGGTCTTTCCACCAACTGTTATCGGTTCCTCGGTTTCACTTTTGGTCGCTTTTCAAAGATGAACCTTTCTCCGGAGCTGATGGGTGTGGGAAGTCAGCCCCCGCCCTCCCCAGAGAAAGAAATATTTTTGGAAACATTTAAAAGACAATAGATTTCCCTAAAGGATTTAATGGCAAAAACCAACCCCCCACCCCAACTGTCCCAAACAGAAACCAAGTCTGCAGAAATGCCGACGTGATAATCTTGTCAGAAAGACTGGAGTCGGGAAACTGGGATCAGGAAGAAAGATCCCTAGAATCAACAATCCCTCACACCAAAAATCTAAGAGTCGTCGGCCCCAGCCCCAGGGAAGCAGGATATGACCTTTGGGACATAATAGGATTGACCCACCATTATCAGAATACCAGAAAGGCAGACTCCGACTCAAGTCAAAGTTCACGCCACAGGAAAAGCTCCAAACAAAAGGCTCGAGAGGGTATAAAAACCCACTCCCTACATGTGCCAGCAAGTGGAGCCGTGGCATCTGCGGCAGAAGCGCACGAGCAGGCAGCGGAAGGCACGAGGAGCCCCAATCCCAGCACAGACCCTCCCCACTCTCCTCTTTCACTACTTTTATGTTACTTTTGGGTTACCCGAAATGTAAATCTTACGGAATGTTAAAGGTTCAATTGGAATACCGTAATTAAAAAAAAATTAAAATTAGGTAAAACTTAAAAACAGGATACGGATATGTGTAAGTAAATATATATATATATATATATATTGATAAATGTTTTAAAATTGAGCTTGTTATGGTTAGAAATTCGCCAGCCTAAGTAGGATGTAGCCATTGTTAAGGGAACTAGAGAAGGCCTTTTTGATGAGGTAACCTGAGATAGGTACTAAAGATTTTGTTATTGATTTGTAGTAATCAGTGCTCAGTCATTGCAGGGTGCAAATAAT